ACCTTTCACAGACACGAACAGCACAAAGAGCTTAACAAAGAGCAAAATAACTAAAAGCAATAAAACAGTGCGTAAATATAATGAAGAACAAATTAAAAAACAGTAAACAAAGCTAAACTAAAAGCCTGTCTAAATAAAAATTGAAGACCTCAAAGTCTTGGATGCCGTGAATGAAAAGGGTGCCCTTTGTTTAAAAAAACTGCTTCAACAAACAAACTCAAGCTTCAACGTTCTCCAAATTTACAAAAAAATAAAATTAAAACAGCATCAGATATATCTTATCTTCACTAAGTAATAATTGAAATTAAGGTTGTGTATTGCCAAGAGTTTTGGCGATACAATACATATCACATGTGGGTCAYGATATGGTATAACTCAATATATTTCAATACTGTAAGCGAGGTGACACATTGCCGTTTGTTTTCTCCAAAATATTCTAACTAAAACAAAACTCGGTATAAAGAGCACATCATGCAATAAATGCATAAAATCTGATTAATCCTGATTATTTTTATTCAATCAGAACAACACTGAACAGTAAGAACTGAATTTTGTATTTGGTATTTATTCTTATAACATTTATGGAACACCAAAATGTTCATAATTTAAATAAATAAAACATGGACAAAAAATGTTTCAACCTAGCGCCTCAGGATCATGCGGGTACTCAAACCCTTCCACCACATTAAGGTGGCAATTCTGTGGAGGAGTATATGAATAAATAAAAGATAAATATATAATGTGACAGTATATTTCTTAAATTAGTGAATGCAGAGAAAATTCAAGGCTCGATTAAAAAAACAAATCTCCTTTAAAAAATGTGCTTATTGTCACATATTGTATTAATCTATTATTTATTATTTACTTATTTCATCATGTTTTACATAATGTTTATGTATGTATTTAATAGGGGTGCAACAATACATGTACCCGTATCGAACCGCTCAATACAGTGCTTTAGGTACAATACACACTTGTATCGAACAATACAGATATTTTTAATTTATCTTATCAGCTTGTCTTCTGACGATACTCTGTGTTGAAGGATCAGTGGATCTGTGTTCGACTACTACACCTAGGCTGCGTTGTCGAGCGCAGATCCACTGAGAAACTTGCTGTTTCAGCAACACTTAATTTAAAAACTGTACTTTTGAGGTTAAAAAAATGTTCATAATTTATTTAAATAAATTACAAGTTAAAAAAGGCATGGAATTTTATTTTTGTTTCGAAAAAATATCGAACCGTGAGACTAAAGTATTGAACCAAACTGAGTCGTGATTTTTCTGTATCATTGCAACCCTAGTGTTTAATTATGAGCATTTTGGTGTTCCATAATATCCATCCATTAAGCCTTAATTAAAAACCGATACAGTATCAGGAAATTAAATATCGCGATATTTCAATGTTTCGATATTTTCTCACAGCTGAAATGCAGTTCAGCAAACAGTTAACTCTACAGTTGAAGTTCTAGTTTGCTGAAGAAGCTTCTGGGATATTTTTAGAGCCAAACAGGAGGCATTCCCCAAGTGAAGAACAGCTGCACGGGCGTCCAAAGCGCTGCCTGTCAGATTAGTGAGCCTACCACTTGTGATAAGACCAGCATGGATCAGGGTTAAATCCAGTCCACCAGCTGGCCGATGATGACAAGGTTCAACTCCATCAAACGGGCTGCTTCTCTGCAAGGATGGACCATCATGTAAAGCAGCTGGTGGAAGGAGTTCCATTTTCTGTTTCAGAGTGTTTTTAAGATGGTTGAAGCCAGCATTTTGTTTTTTAAATTGCTTCTGGGTTTGGACGATAACACAGAGCAGAGGGCACAGTTTATCTCTGTTTTGAGGTAAGCTTGTTCTTTTGGACCRGACAGGTTTTGGGTCTTTCTGTTGACATCTTGTGTTCCCTCCCCTGCAGATTCGAGGGAAACCTCGCCCCTGCTTCTCCCGCACCTCCTTGTGATGAAGCGTTCCCGTCTTCTGATCCTCCTCACCTGCGAGACACCAGAGTCCTCCCCATCCTAAACCCCCTGGAGAGTCGCACCCTCGAAGCTCTACCAACCCCACCTGCATCCCCACCCTTCCCTCCTCCTCCTGCTCCTTCTGAGCTTTGTGAGAACTTCTTCCCACCCTGCCACGTCCCTTTAAGGTACAAACACCACTTCTCCTCCTTTTTTGTGTGTGTGTGTTTGTCATTATATCAGTTCACTGTTCTGTGTCAAAGGAAAGTGTGACACGTCTTAGACAGAATTTGTCCTCTGGTGACACGAGTCCTTTTAAGCCTGCATTGTGAAAATTAGCCAGGTCTTTATCTTCTAAGCTGCGTGGCTCAGATAGGAAGATGGTGTTAAACTGACATCTGGCGCACTCGCTGACTTTGAGCATCCTGATTCTCTGAGCTCACCATCAGAGCTTCTTAAAACAAATCCACCCAGCTTCTCTGTCATAACTCAAAGAAACGTGTGAAGCTCATTCTATGTGTGTATTTATATAATATTTATTTTTCTGTTTGAATGTTATCTTATTACAAAAACCTAAAACAGAGAAGAGCTCCACAAATATAGCAAAAAAATCACAACTGAGCTGAACTTTTTCTCTTTATATTTTCATCACTAGCTGCGTTTCCATTGACCATGAAAATGCGCAAATTATAATTTTAAAAATAAATTTGCTCAATGGAAACACGTCAATTTAAAAGAAAAATACGTTTTTCGACAAAATGTTTTTGCGCTAGGAAGAGGTGGTATTTTGACCGTATCGAAATTGGAAAGCAATGGAAACACTTTTTTTGGATCACGGGAGTCACGTGATCAAAAACCGTCTGTTTTTACAGGCGAAAAAGACGATGACGAAGAAGATAACAGGAAGTAGAAATAGTAGTAATATCACAGAAGTAGTATAAAATAGTAAACTCACCGACT